AGTTTTGACATCCATTTGCCAGATTTCATAAAATGCGGCAACTGCTAACATGATTCGGACAGACTTTTAAGCATCAATACGAATGAGAAAATGTTATCGTAGTCAACACCTTGAACTTGTCAAAAACATTTTTGCGACAATTCGAGATTTGTAGATAGTAACACTACTATCAGCGTCCGTCTTCCTCTTGAAGATCCATTTATTCTCAATGACTCACCGGTCATCGGGCAAGTCAATCAAAGTCCATACTTTGTTCTCATACATGGATCCCATCTTAGATTTCATAGCCTCAAGCCATTTTGTGGAATCTGGGCTCATCATCGCTTCCTCATAGTTCGTAGGTTTGTCATGGTCTAGTAAGATGACTTCCAGAACAAGATTACCTTACCAGTCTGGTGCGGACCGTACTTTGGTTGACCTAGGAGGTTTGGTAGTAACTTGATCTGAAGTTTCATGATCATCATCATTAGCTTCCTCACTAATTGGTGTAGGAATCGCTGGCACTGAATTCTGTGATGAACTACTTTCCAATTCGGGAGAAGGTACAGTTACCTCTTCAAGTTCTACTTTCCTCCCACTCACTTCTTTCGAGAGAAACTCCTTCTCTAGAAAGGGTCCATTCTTAGCAACAAAATATCTTGCCTTCGGATCTGTGATAGAAGGTGTACCCAATAGTTTCTTTTGGGTATCCTATGAAGACGCACTACTTTGATTTGGGTTCGAGCTTATCAGGTGCTCCCGGTAGTATTGTCATGGATTTTTCACGGCAGATGTCCTCGTGAAAAGGACTTAGTGTGAGGCCAACACATCTATGTGGTAGCTTGAGAGGGGGTTGAGCGGGATGAGAGACGCGAGGTTTTACCCAGGTTCGGCCCCTCATGATGGAGGTAAAAGCCTACATCCTGCTTCATTGATATTGAAGATGATGATCACCATTAAAAGGGTGCTCTATCTCGAGAGCTATTGACTTGTATGTCTAAACCTATATTGTGAAAACTTGTCAAACTTATGGAACTTGTCCCTCTTGGGGGGCCCTGCCCCTCCTTATATATGTTGAAGGGGCGTCTTACATGACTAGTCCTATTAGGATTAGGATTACTCTATTACAAGTGGAGTCCTAGTCTTGCTTCCTTTGTAAGGGAATATTCCTTATGCTTTCATCTTAAGACGGCCCACCATAACATAAGCCGGTCTTCCATGAACCGCCTGATGGGCCAACGGGTCTTGTCCTCTATCTGGCCCGCCGTTGAGGCCATCAGTAAGTCGCCAGGTTAATGAGTCGCCAGACCAGTGAGCCGCCAGACTCGTGAGTCGCCAATCCTCCGGCGGGTTACCAATGAAACGCCAAGTCTGGCCGGGTCATACCGCGGGGTATATCCCCGACATTAGCCCCCAATTTAATTTGGATTTATCCATATCAAATTGATCCTGCAAAATAACTCAAAAATAAATTTGATAGGTTGTGCTCCGGGTTAAATATTCTTGTAAGCCGACACCCGATCATCCTTAAGTCCTTGTCATTTTCTTCTTCTAGAAAATCCGGGTCTATAGGCCAGCCTCATAATCAATTTGCTGACATCGGTTTCTCATAGAAAAATATTGCGAAAAATAATCCACTTGAGTCGGCTTCCAAAGCACCGACTTAAAAAATATTGGTCTTGAAATACTCATCTGATTTTCAGCCAGCTTGAAGATGCAGATCTTGCCAATTTATGATTACCAAAATTGTCGGGTTATAAACAGATGATGCCGAGTCATAATTGTTGCCTACGCCGGGTCAAAACTGAGAATTTTGATGATTTCTCTCCCTCATATCTGTATTACCTGTAGCCCCCAAGTCTTGAGCAGAGCAAAGTGATGACTTAAGACTTGCTTCAATATAAATATTACCACTTTGAAGAAATCCATGTTGTTCATCTCAATCACTAGTCAGAACTGAGTATTTCACATATGTAGCCCCCAAGTGCCGGGTTGTCATGCTTGTAGCAACATGGGACTTGTAATTACCTTATACTCATGAAAACTTCAACCAGTGTAGCCCCCAAGAGCCGGCTTAGTAAGATAATACTGAGCTGGGACTTTATATATACTTCATTTGAGAATAACATCATATGATGTAGCCTCCATCGTAGGGCTTGAACCCACGTCCACAAGGTTTTAAGAGCTTTTTACTCTACCAACTGAGCAATAAACCTTTCAATATAATGGATTAATGCTTGTGTACCTTAAATTTTTGACATGAGAAATTGGTAGCCCCCAAGGGCCGGCTCATTACGATGTGATGAGTCGGGTCTTCAATAAGGTGAGCAAAAAATGACTTTGCATTAGCCACCAAGTGCCATGGTGCATGCTGGCAGTGACATGGGACTTGCATATTTGATAATCTCAACTTGAATAATGTAGCCCCCAAGTGCCGGGTCGTAAGCCTGTAGCGACTCGAGACTATTCCTTCCATTGTAGAATAAATTATATCCATTGATAAAATAATAGCCATTGAGCTGAAGCGACTTTGAAAACCTCAATCATAATATTGGTTATTGATAACCATAAAAATCCAGCCATGTTGGCTATTCAAGAGTTGAATAATATAATTCGGTATGAAAACCTCAATCATTCAATATCATCATGAAAATCCAGCCAAGTTGGGCTATTATCATATACTGGCGACTTAGAGTCTGCCATCCTGGCGGGTTGCAAAGACCCGAAGATGCTTCAAATATAAGACATAAATAGGGCAGCTTGGCCCGATTTGTAAAAAACCAGATGGCAAAAAAGAAATCGTATAAAGAAAAGAAAGAAAAAAATTCGAGGCTTTTGAAGGCCGCCAAGCCAAAGTGTCTTCTTAGATGAAACTAGCCTGAGCCACTAGAAGGTACGTGCTTTCCGTGAGCCTGACTCACAATACCCAATCGACATTTGAACCCAGATAAAGTCAGGTCTTGCTTTATAGACTTATCAGGAGTACAGCATACATCACGGGCCGATTTATCCAAGTTTCAAGGAAGGCAGCTTATGAAGCCTAGATCTATCCTGACTATCTGTAAGTCGTGCTCTCACATGACAAACTGGCGTTTTAATCTTAACGAGCTCAGTTCTTGGTCGAATACGCCGTAAAGACTAATCGTTAAGAGTTCGGCGGGTCAATCAGGATTACCTGATGGAGTTGAAGCAGCTGGCTACAGGTAGGATGACTCGGAAAAGTTATGTTCTCTTTGATCGAATACGCCTATGTTTGAACAAACCTGGTCAAGAGGGTAGTAACGCTATGTTCTCTTTGGTCGAATACGCCTATTTTTGAACAGGAAGCCCCCAAGTGACATACTGACAAGTGTGGCGTTGAGCCGATCAAGGGGGATATTCACAGCTATGCTCGATGAGAAGGAAGCCCCCAAGTAACCAAGATAAGCCCACAAGGCAGGATACCCATGTTTGAATCGTCCATCATAGCAGCAAGTTCTCTTTGGCAACCTTTAATTTTTTCTGAGAACTCGAACTTTGTGAGAGATAAATTCTTCTTGAGCCGGAATTTTAAACCGGATATTGAGAGCTTCAGTGCTTTGTGGGAGACAGATTTCCCTTGAGCCGGATTTTAAACTGGATTTTTGAGAGCTTCAGTGAGAGAAAGATTTCTCTTGAACCGGATGTTGAGCCGGAATCTTCTTTTTAAGACGAAAATTTTCTGACGGCCTTTCAATTTTCATCAATATGGCAGTAGCCTCCGGGACCGGGTTATCTTTCCCTCCAACGTCCTGGGGTTCTTGAATTTGCTGAAACTGGCAAGATTTGCTGAGTCATACCATTGTAGCCCCCGAGTCTTAAGACGACTCAAGGAGTTGTCTTGAGATTCTCCATATTTGACCATGATATAAACTGGTATGAGTCATTCAACATCTCAGTGATATAATAGTCCCTTTTGTAGTAGACAATTTGTCCTGCATTGAAGAACTTGCAAGCTAGAGTAATTGCTCTTTTAAATAAAGCAATATGTAATATAAAAATATACTATATAGATTTCACCTGATATGTTAGTCTAGAAATTATCCACCGCGGAGTTGATGATCACCAAGTGAAGCTAAAATCTAGCACGGCCGAGTCGGCCGCACGAGCAGATAGATGAGCCGGCCGCGGCATTGTAAGCCGGTGCGGACGGGAGAGTCAGCCGCGGCATTGTAAGTCGGCACGAACACGGGTGAGTCAGCCGCGGGCACGGACGACGAGTCAGTCGTCGTGTGTTGATGTAGCGGGAGCGGCGACCTGCGCACGTATGCGTCTAGCAACACGGCACGGACAAGCGCTAGTGCAAAAATAATACTGGCGCACACCCCTTTGCGACACCTTTGTAATTTCTAATGGTCCTGCAAAAAAATATCACAGACCAGAGTAATTGTTTTTTAAAGAATAAAAACATATTAATAAAAATTGATTGGACAAACTTCACCTGATTTGTCCGTACGGATGATCCGTAGATAACTTTCCCCGGAGTAATCATTGTGCCAATACACTTCAAGATTCCTCATAGTGGCAACCAAAAAAAATTCTTTGGAGTGACCAGTTGTGTCAATCCACTGTACACTGGTGAATGACATGGTCAAGGCCAACCATAGAAACGTATTTGCAATCTGGGTGTGCATTCTCTGAGCAACTTTAATGGTTAGTGGCACCAATAATCTCCCCAATTACTGTAGTGGTCAAAACAGACTTCAGACATACACAACGCTTCAGTTCTTTATTGTGAAAACCAAGTTCCTTCCTCCAGTGGTGAAAGCGGCAGGTAGTCTGTCAGTTCCTTCTTTCTACTTAGAGGAAGATGCAGCAGATTCGTAGGGGGTCACCGCGGTAGCAGCGGCTCAAGGCGGCTTGATTGTGGTAGAAGCGAGGCGCGAACCGGCAGCTCAATGAAGGCCATGGAGGTAGCGGCTCGCATCGGTGACGGCGAAGACCGGCAGCACGGTGGCTTGCAATAGTTACCTGAAGGTAGGCCCGCGTGGCGGTTTGCAGGGATGGCTCAAGGCCACAAGTGTGCGACAACTCACCGCAAGAGTGATGGTATTTTGGCAAGGCCGTGGTCGCGGAAGTGGTTTAGTGAGCTGCAACAGAAGCGTGCAGCGAAGCAAGTTGATAGCAGGGGCGTGAACCATGACTCTATGAGGCCCCGGCGAGAGGCACTGCCATAGCGGAGGCAGGTCAGCGAGGCTCCAGCGCTCGGCGTACAATGGCTTGACGCGAAGGTCAGAGGCGTCACGATGCAAGAGGTGCTGGAGAGTCTTCTGAAACAGCGGTGGAGGCGAATGGGCATCTCAAGAGGAGCCGCGGTCGCGACGACCGGCTGAATCAAGAGGAGCAGTGGTGAAAGCGACCGGCGGAGGAGGCTCGAGGCCGCGGGAGCGGGTTGCTCGGCCGGCTCAAGGCGCGGCGGCAGCGGACGCAGGGCGGTTCAAAGCGAAGCCACTTGGAGGCGACAACGGCAACCGCAGGTTTGACGCAAGGTCGACAAGTCAAAGCAGAGCCGCGCCGAGCCAACTTGAAGATGAAAGTGGCGATCCGAAGCAGTGGGGATGCGCCGGCCAATGGAATCACATGGTTGCGGCGTGTTGCAGCAGCTTGACGAAGGAGCACCACAGAGGACGGGGATCCGGCAGCTCAAGACCGCAGCCACGCACGGCAGAGGCAGAGAGCAGGGCCGGTGGTCACGGTGTGGAGGACGGCGATGACTCAGAAGCCACCGAAGCGCACGCGTGGCGGCAGAAACGGGCGCCTCAAAACGAGGCCGCGGGGGCCGGAGGAATCCGGGTCGTGAGCGGTTCTGTTTCCGGATCGTAGTTGCTTTGACCGAATTTTCCTTTAACCCGATTTTGTCTTTGCTGTAAACTCGATCGAACCTGCAGTGTTTGTTCCAATCCACCCATCCGAGTTGAAGTAGCTGACGACTTTTAGCTTCCTTCGGCAGATATATGTAGGCATAATTTCATGGCGACTTGACGGCCAACCCAGATTAAATAAAAAATTACAAAGATCATCCATGGCGATTTGACAATAATATTTTTTGTTCTCAACCGACGAAGTTAGGCTTGATGCAAATTCTTCTGTTCTGGCTCTTGCTTCAACTGGAATTTTATGAATTTCTCGATCGCTGAGAGAGATTTCTCAAAAAACTCAACATCACTATGCACAAGCCCCACGGTGGGGGCCAACTGTCGTGGATTTGTCATGGCAGATGTCCTCGTGAAAATGACTTAGTCGTGAGGCCAACGCATCTATGTGGTAGCTCGAGATGGTTTGAGTGGGACGAAAGACGCGAGGTTTTACCCAGGTTCAGCCCCTTACGGTGGAGGTAAAAGCCTACATCCTGCTTCATTGATATTGAAGATGATGATCACAATCACAAGGGTGCTCTATCTCAAGAGCTAATGACTTGTCTGTCTAAACCTAACTTGTGGAAACTTGTCAAACTTATGGAACTTGTCCCTCTTGGGGTGCCCTGCCCCTCCTTATATATGTTGAAGGGGCGGCTTACATGACAAGTCCTATTAGGATTAGGATTACTCAATTACAAGTGGAGTCATAGTCCTGCTTCCTTTGTAAGGAAATGTTCCTTATGATTTCATCTTAAGCCGTCCCACCATAACATAAGTCGGCCTTTCATGAACCGCCTGTTGGGCCACCAGGTCTTGTCCTCTATCTGATCCGCCGTTGAGGCCATCAGTAATTCGCTAGGTTAATGAGTCGCTAGACTAGTGAGCCGCCAGACACGTGAGTCGCCAATCCTCCGGCAGGTTACCAATGAAACGCCAAGTCCGGCCAGGTCATATACCCGGTCGGGTCATACCGCGGGGTATATCCCCGACAAGTACCGCTTCTTGGGCGCGGTAGTTCTCGGTGTCAAAACCGAAGGATCTCGGGTAGGGGGTCCTGAACTGTGCGTCTAAGGCGGATGGTAATAGGAGGCGAGGGACACAATGTTTACCCAGGTTCGAGCCCTCTCGATGGAGGTAATACCCTACTTCCTGCTCGATTGATCTTGATGATATGAGTATTACAAGAGTTGATCTACCACGAGATCATAGAGGCTAAGCCCTAGAAGCTAGCCTATGATTATGATTGTTGTTGTCCTACGGACTAAACCCTACGGTTTATATAGACACCGGAGGGGGCTAGGGTTACACAGAGTCGGTTACAAGGGAGGAGATCTACATATCCGAATTGCCAAGCTTTCCTTCAATGCAAAGGAGAGTCCCACCCGGACACGGGACGAAGTCTTCAATCTTGTATCTTCATAGTCCAACAGTCCGACCGAAGGATATAGTCCGGCTGTCTGAGGACCCCCTAATCCAGGACTCCCTCAGTAGCCCCTGAACCGGGCTTCAATGACGATGAGTCCGCCACGCAGACTGTCTTCGGCATTGCAAGGCGGGTTCTTCCTCCGAATACTCCATAAAAGATTTCGAACACAAGGATAGTGTCCGGCTCTGCAAAACAAATTCCACATACGACCGTAGAGAGTATAATATTTCCACAAATCTAATCTGCTGACAACTTTTCATAACATGACATCACGCCATGGCCCGGTCATTATTTGAACCGTTTTTCTCAACCAGCTACTGCACATATTGCGAGGCAGTTTTCTTGGCACGTCTTGTCGAAGCAGAGATCGTGTCCCCTTATCATGGGATTCTCATCAATATGGGTGTGGCTAACCCAACCGCGCCATCAATCACGCGCTTGGGGAATAAGCGAGTTTACCAGGCAGGTGGGGAGGCGCATAGTTTCTTCTGCCCTTATAAAGGGACAAGGAATCCTCCTTTTCACCCACGCCTTCTTCTTCCCTACCCATTCATTCTCGCGCACTCGAGCTCTAGCGCCCAAGTTCGCATTTCCTCCACAAAACCACTCCAAACATGTCCGGAGTGGGAGGCAAGTGGATGGTCTCCTCTGTTATGGAGGAGAACATTACGAAGCTCCAGGAAGCCGGATACGTGGCCGCAGATATCGCGCACTGGCTCCCAGACGTGGGGCAGATTGTCCCTACCCCCGAACCCCATGAAAGGATTGTATTCCTTACCCATTTCGTCCGCGGGCTGGGATTTCCCCTCCACCCATTTGTTCACGGGCTCATGTTCTACTACGGACTGGACTTCCATGATATGGCCCCCAATTTCATCCTCAACATCTCGGCGTTTATCGTCGTGTGCGAGGCCTTCCTCTGCATCAAGCCCCACTTCGGCCTGTGGCTGAAGACCTTCAATGTTAAACCGAAGGTGGTGGTCGGCCAGCAAGCGGAGTGCGGAGGCGCCATGGCAGGAAAAATGCCCAATGTCACCTGGCACGAAGGCTCCTATGTGGAGATAGTGAAGGGGTGGCAATCGGGGTGGTTCTACATCACCGAGCCACGTGACACCAACTGGGTGGCGGCCCCCGAATTTCGATCCGGCATCCCCACGCGGCTCACCTCCTAGAAAGAGAAGGGCCTATCCTGGGATTCATCGGTGGAGCTGACCGGACTCCAGAACTGTGTTAAAAACATGATAAGCAAGAAAATCAAGCTTGTCAATGTGGTCCAGGTCATGCTCTTCCGCCGGATCCTCCCGTGTCAAAGACGAGCATTCAATATGTGGGAGTTCGACCTGGCTAAGAACCAGACGCTATGACAACTCTTTGACACGACACACCAGGACATCTAGAGGGTGCTGTTCAAGTCCGCCGAGGTACCTCCTCCCCTTACCGAGGATCGCGGACTCAGCACAAAGCGCCCTGCCAACCAGTAAGCTGCTTATATCTCATAAGACATTTCTTTCCCCAGTATAATCATGTGGGGGATCTAATCCTCCACGCCATTTAACAGGAATGGGTCGCAACAGCGGAGCAGATCGATTGTCCGTCCCCACTACCTGAGGATCCAGCAAGGGCTCTCTTAACGGAGATGCTGGTTCCGTCGCCCTATGAGGCACCGGAGAAGAAGGCCAAGAAGAAGGCCATGGGGACGAGGAAAGGTTTCCGGCGCAAGGTCGTATCGGACTCATCATTCGATAACACCGAGGCGCCCTCCTCCCACGAAAACAAGGAGGAAGAGGAAAGTTCTCCCCCCCCCCAGCCGGGGGGACAAGAAAAGGAAGGCCGCCCCGTCAGGGGAAGCCAGAGGGTCCAAGAAGGGAAGGAATCTCCTTCCGGACTGCTCCACGGTGGCCGCTTTTAGCGACAAGGAGTGGTTACCCAGGGACAAGCCCCTGGCGAAGTCGTAAGTATCCGGATACCATAATAGTTATTGGTATGTTTTATTTTATTACTTCTTATCATGCCGAACATGATCATGCAGCCCATCCAAAGACCGTATTGACGTATCCTCTTCGGATGAGTCTTTGGGCCCGTCGGAGATGAACAATGATTCACTCCCGACCGCCTCCTCCCCCCGCCCTATGGACGACATCGAGGTGTTGTCTCAAAGGGTACTGGACCAAGGGGAGACAGTTCTAGAAGCGCCCCAAGGCGACATTCCGGACGCTGGGCGCACGAGGGGCAAGACTCCCATGGGCTATAATACCGGGGGCAGCAAGTCTAAGGGAGACAAGCCGTCTGTGCCATTGGCCTCTGTCCATCCAGGGGCATCGGACAATTTGCTGGAAGTGCTTCGCGTTGCTTCCATTGACGAAGAGCACCGCACTATCATGAGTGCGGTGGTCAAGAAGGTTCAGTCCGCCAAAAGAGGACTGGCTGAAGCCTGTGCCAGCCTCCTAACAGGCTTTGAGGTAAGTAATCAAATTATGAGAAAATGTTACAGCATAGACAGTAGCCCCTGATGCTCTGTTTGGTGCTCGGAAGAAAGGCCGAACAGAGGATCAAATAATAATCACAGGAGTCTAATCAGAATATGTCTATGTGAATAAGCAGGCTTCATTGCTGGCCGCTGCCGCTCACATGACAGAGGTCTCCGCACTGAAGCGGGACCTTGAGCGGTCCGAGGAAGAGCTCGGCCTTACCAAGAGGCAGCTCGAACAGAACAAAGGTAAGTGATACCTCGTCTATTTATTGATAAAAAAGGAAGCTGGTTGTTAGATCACAGGATCATCATGAATTTTGCTAGGGGCCACGACCGAAGTGGCGACCCTGAAGAAGGTGTTGTCCGAGGCTGAAGGCAAAGCAGCCAAGGAGCGCGCTGAGCGCGAGAAGCAAGAGGCCTGAGTCGGCGAGGTTCAGCAAGAGCTCCAGGAGTTTGTCAAGAAGTACGAGTCCTTGGAGCGTGACTCTAGGACGCAAGGGTCCGAGCTTGCGAAGGCCCTCGAGAACACACAAAATGCCAAGGCCGAAGCCCAAAAGGCCCTCCAGGAAATTGAGGTGGTCAGGAAGATAGCGGCGGGTAAGGTATTCACGATGCAAAGGAAGCATATGAAGGAAACTTTCCTTTTACTTACCCGAATTCGGAGCTCTCCAGGAGCGTTCGCAGATCTACCCAGCAGTGTGTCGGATGCCGCGGAGTTCTACCGGGCCGAGGAAGGGAGCTCGACGGAGAGGTTGTTCTGGTCTCAGTATACTAGGACCGAACATCTGATGCCCTTGAGCGACTAGTTGAAGCAACTGGTCGAGCTTCACAAGGTGGCCGAACTGGGCATGAAGGACATTATAGTCCGGATGTGGCCTGGCGAGCCCCTGCCTGGCAGCTATTTCGGCCTGGTAAGGCATCTTGTGAACGCCTTCCCACAGTTTGAAGTCATAAAGTGGTCCTTCTGCATTGAGGGTGCACGCAGGGCTTTTGCTCGGGCAAAAGTGCACTGGGCGAAGATGGACGCCGTAAAGCTGGTGAAGGAGGGGCCACCAGAGGGCCATGAGCA